TTTTTTTTTTTGTTGCGATTTTTAACTAGTCCACTTGAAAATGTAACTACAACATGATTCAGTAACTGGTTCTTTATTAACCCTCTAGTTAAAGACAATTCTACTTCCAGAGCAGCACACATGAAGCTGTCGACGTGATGTAAAGCACTTGTTTAATAGCTTTGCAGAAAAGATGCATGAACTACAGCTACATCTGGTCTTATACATGTTATATGTTCAGAAATAATACGAGGAAAATGCGTTCAGAAATGCTCAAAAGTCAAGGTCATTCAAATTCAAAACAGCTGAAGGAATAGCAGCAGTAGACTATTATTAACTATAAATGTTCTGTAAAACAGCAGCTTTCAGTCGGTCACCGTGATGCAAACATGAAATATCAGACACACAGTAGTAGTTACAGGTTTTTTATTCGCTTGTGCTGCTTTTCCATAGTTTGTTCTGTGTAAACATGGACGTGGTTGACGGCTGCGCTCGCGTCTCTTGCATGAAACGGTATTCTAGAGACACTGCGCTCAAGTTAAGAGAAGTTCACTCATCTTCTTACGTGTGTTTGCTCTTCCTCTGCCACGTCACATCTTTATCAACACAAAAGCTCGTGTGTGTGAATGGTGTCTCGTGATACGAGCGGTTTATCATTCTGTTCTCTTCACTGTTATCATTGGCATATTGACAGTGTCTAACGGCTCTGACCCTCTGTGTTTCTCAGGATCCGCAGGTTTACTGTGATTTCTCGGACGTCATCGACATCAGTGTAAAGCAGGGGACTAAAGACGGATCTGTGGAGAACCGGGTCGTCTCCATAAACAGACGGGACGGTCAGACGCTGGTGAGGTTCGGTCGTGCTTCAGTCCGTCCTCGGCTCAGATCCGTGTCTGCAGCGTCTCTCTCTGTGTCCCGCAGGAGCTGGAGTTTCATTCTCTGAGTGAGGCGCTGTCCTTCGTGTCTCTGATCGACGGCTACTACAGACTCACCACAGACGCTCATCACTACCTGTGTAAGGAGGTGGCACCCCCTAGACTGCTGGAGGCCATTCAGAACAGCTGCCACGGGCCAGTGTCGTGAGTCACACACACACACACTCACTCACACACACACACACACACACACACTCACTCACTCACTCACTCACTCACACACTCACCCACTC